GCACCGTCTCGATCAGGCTCCTGAAGTCCCTCTTCAGCGTCTCCGTCTGCCGCAGCTTGGTGTCGTTAGCCCCCGCGTGAAGCACGACCGCTCCGGGGCTCTCGTTGCCCTTCAGGATCGTGGGTATCTGCACAGAAACATCGAGAACACGAGCACCAGGGAAACAGTGAGTGTGCACTTTACCTTCAGCTAACGTAGCACGGACGTGCTGGATAATGGAGTCTCCGATGATCACAGCGTCGCATTCCGTCTCACGGAGGGGAGCGAAGCGGTTCCGGGTGGAGATCTCGAAGACCGGAGGGGGAGAGGTCGTCGCCCAGGGGCCTGGCTCGCGTCTTCCACTGCGGGTGCACCCAGGGTCCTGGTGCCGGAGTGAAGGACATCTGGGAAGATCGCGTCCTGGGTGCACCGGGCCTGTGCAGAGAAACACACGGAGTAGAGGTGGTGGGAGTGTTAGTATCGCGCGGTATACTTACCCCTGACTTGTGAACGTCAGCCCGGGATGTTTCCAGCACGGCTCTCCGTTCTCGCAGCTGGGCCAGAATATTACATGTATTTTTTAATCTCTTTTTGAAGCTGCTATTGATGTGGTTTGTAACCTAGCTATATGAAACAAATTTCACATCCATAGTTAAATCCTTATTGTTATTGTTGCAATTGGAAAATTTTGTTGAACCTAATCCCTAATTTCTTAGTTTGTTTCGGCTTTGCTAAGGGCAATTGTTTGCAATTTTTATTTAGGAATGTCCATAATCCCAGCTAATACCTTTGGTTTGCTTCAGATCGCTTTGCTTTTTATATGCAACCTTTGTTTTTGCAGTGTTTTGTGTTTTATGAGATAAAATTCTATCAGTGTTTGTGTTTTCTGACTGGTGTTTCTATGGAGGTCAGTTGATATAATGGCTAAACGTAATATTTTGTTTCAATCTTTCATTGAGTTCCTGTTGTGCTAGATTCTCCCAAACCAATGCAGCTATGTCAATCACCAAAAGTCAAACACCAAAAAAGATGCTGTATCAGCGTAACACTGTTACAGCAGAGTCCTGTTCTCTTGATTCAGAATGGGTTCTTCACATTCCTTCTCTTTACAGAAAGAGGCTGTTTTTAGATTCAATATATTTTCACAGACTATAAGCTATAAGATAAAAAAGCTAGGAAAATCAATATCCAATCCATGACAAAAAAGAACCGCAGCATCAAGAAGGGAGTTTGTTCTCTGTCCTTGTGTATCAGAAAAGATAATAGATCGCATAAAATTGAGTGTTGGCCCAAACTCTTGTCAGACTTAACCTGCCCTTGAGTTTCATGTTTCTTGAGATGTTGTTCTCTTAAAGGGGTCATATGATTCTGCTAAAAAGAACATTATTTTATGTATTTGGTGTATTGAAATGTGTTTATGCGGTTTAAGGATCAAAAAACACATTATTTTCCACATACTGAACATTATTGTTTCTCCTCTATGCCCCGCCTGTCTGAAACGACGAAAATGTTACAGACCTCACCATACTGTGAAGCCCTGTCCGGCCGGAGCGACGAGACAAAAACATTAAAACCTGTTATAGACGAATGCATTTGTTGCATCCAGTGGGGGCGTAATTACTGATTATAATGACTTATACTGTCTTTTTACGCATGGCGTTGCATCGCGCCCCGTAAACATAAAACCATGTCTGCATTTGTGATCGGAGAAATGACAAACAACAAGTGCTACTCTACACTGCTCAAAACTCACGTTTGACTCATCAGTGGCAATTTCTTTAAATATAAAAAACGTACTTGGCGTCTGTGAGTCAGAACAGCCAGCATTGTAGTCTAATCTCCCAGGAAACAGTCCTCCATAAAATGTGTTGCACACATCTGAATATTTGGGTTGAAGTGTTCTGGAACAGTGTTGTAAATACAACTTAACCACTGATTTCTAGTCGTGTCCTCTTTTGGAAGGCCAAACAAAGTAGTTTCGCTTTCACAACGAAACAGCGTCACACACGGCGGGGCTAGAGTGAGCGGCGGCGGCCTAGAGCAAGCGGAGGCCAGCGGCTAGAGTGAGGAACGGTCGGCGGGATGAGTGAGCAGAGGCCTGGCGGGCTTATTTTTTTCTTTAATGCTAAATGAGGAAAAAACAGAGGCCATTGTTTTTAGCCACCCAAATAATTCCACAAAACATTTATTAGATGCGAGCCCTCTGGCATCGTATTTGAAAAAAACAGTAAGAGATTTAGGCTTCCTAATTGATAATAACCTAAAATTAGATAAGCAAATTTACTTTTTTTTTTATAATTTGCGTTTATTAGCCAAAGTTAAACCATTCTTAACAAACTCAGACTCTGAAAGAGTAATCCATGCCTTTATTCTATCATGGCTGGATTTCTGTAATTCTTTGTATTCTGGCATCACCACCACATCTTTGTCTCGACTACAATCAGTACAAAATGCTGCGGCGAGGTTACTAAAAAAGGTAAAGAAATATGAATCAATTACCCCTGTGTTAGTTTCTTTAAATTGGCTCCCAGTCCATTTTAGAATTAAATATAAAATGTTATTGTTCGTGTTAAAATCTTTAAACAACCAGGCCCCATTGTATTTGGCAAACCTTTTAATCCCATATAATCCTCCTAGAACATTACGATCAGAGAATCAAAAATTACTTGTAGTGCCTAGAACAAATAGCCTATATAAAGGCGATCGGGCCTTCGCTGTGATAGGGCCGAGACTTTGGAATGAGTTGCCCCTGCCGATCAGGTCTGCCAAATCACTGTCAATTTTTAAGAAACTGTTGAAAGCACATCTAATGTTGGTAGCATACAATGATTGATGTGGTGTTTTATATGTCGATGTGGTGTTTTATGTTGTCGATGTTCGTTTCCATTCTTGTACTTTTTATGTAAAGCACTTTGGTTAGCACCTCGGTTGTGTTTTAAATGGTGCTATATAAATAAACGAACAAGAACCACATGTGACAACCCTGGGCTGGACTCCGCTTCGTCCACGGTGAAAGTTGATCCGGCGATCCACAGCGCGAAGTTGATGTATTTCCTCAGTGACCTGCACGGATCAGCTGTAGGCATGACGAAGCGGATATGGTCCTCTTTTGGAAGGCCAAACAAAGTTTGCTTTCACAACGAAACACAGCGTCTCCACAGCATGGTGGCGGCGGCAACAATACTACAGCGAGCATAAAAGTTACGCCTTCTTTCTTTGCATGAACATTTGGGCGGCGTTATGCAAATCTTCCCACATCGTGACGTAGACATGTGGAGGCGTGTTGGAATGAGCTGTTTTAGGTAGGCTTGGTTGACTCTTAACTTTTATAAAGAATATCTCTTTGGATTTGAGACTTTAGACTTTCAACTTTACAGATCATCTTTATGCACCAAGAGCTTGTAACACTCCAAAGAGAAAGGAAAAATTTAAATTGCATCATATGACCCCTTTAATAAGAGTTATTGATTGACCAGCATGATCCAGTGGACGCTGAATAGTTGGTGAGGGATGGTGATCAGCAGCAACAAGTCGTATTGCGTAGTTAACACAAGATACATGGACATGTGAATTGATGGATGGGTAGTTGATCTGTGATCTTGATGGTAGTTAGAAGATGTGCTGAATGCCTACACTCAGTGAAGAAGATGAAGGCTGTTAGAGGAGTGATAATGAAGTAAGTCTGGACTTTTACATTGAAGCATTGATTCCATCAGTATTCTGAGTGTGTGTACATGTTAGAATGAGGCAACCAGTCTGAATCACTGAATCACTAATAGTTTTTTATCACTTTCTCTGGCAATCCAGACTGTAATGAAGCCAGCTTGTTGGTTTCCATCATTTTATGTGTCAGAACATAGATTTTCTGTCACAGCACTGGGTAAGAATATGAAAAAAGAGCACAATTAATGACCGTAAAACTTTTAACAAAATTTTGCAAAAGCAGACAGGATGTCCATTATCTCATAATGTAACCAATATCTTGATGGTAGCTTATATGACATACAATGATTACAACACTGCCACAAGAAAGCCCCGGTGAATTATTTTGACAAGTGCCATTTTATGACATAACATTGAAAAGTTGGGGTAAGAGTTTTTTTTAATTTTTATAATTTAATACTTTTATTCATCAAGAGTGCATTAAATTATCAAAACTGACAGTGCAGACATGCATAATTTTACAAAACATTCTATTCATCAAAGAATTCCAGAAAAAAATATTAGTTTCCACAAAAATATTAGGCAGCAAAAATGTTTTCAACATTGATAATATTAAGAAATGTTTGTAGAGCAGCAAATCAGCATATTAGAGTGATTTCTGAAGGATCATGTGAACTGAAAAATGCTGAAAATTCAGCTTTGTCATCACAGGAATAAATTACATTTTAAAATATATTAAAATAGAAAACTGTTATTTTAAATTGTAATAATATTTCACAATATTACTGATTTATTTCATTTTTTGACTATAGCAGCCTATAGGTGAACATGAGACTTTTTTCAAAAACCTTAAAGGGGTGGTTGATTGCGATTTCACTTTTTTTAACGTTAGTTAGTGTGTAATGTTGCTAGGGATGTAACGATTACCGGATTACAATAAATGATAAATCATGATAAAATTCCCCACGGTTAATATTACCGTTTCATCTTTTAATTATCATTAAAACCGTATTAGATTAGCACTCTTTTAAAACCTCCCAGCTTTTCCGCCCTGTTTTCACTCAAAACGAGTGCTAAGGGAATTATACAAATGAATATATGAATTAATTAATTATATGAATGTACCTCTGAAGGTTCTGAAGGTCTTCAGGAACGATTCGATGGCATTTTGTTTTCATCTTCACTCCATGTAATACCTAAAGGAAGTGTTCTTAATCGCAATACTGCTTTGTCCACGGAGGTTACGGGAAACAGCTGTAATTCAGCTTTTCCATAAGCGCCACCTGCTGTCAGCGAGTGGATTTACAGAGACCTACATTTACATTCAGCCTGTGTGCAGTTTCTGTCTGGCCAAAAACGGACCAAATTTGCATGCCCTGCTGTAAATTTTGACCGGTTGATGAAAAACAAGCTTATGTGGATTCTACACATTTAAACAACTCAGATAAGTTATCTAGAATTATTTATGGAGCAGATAAAATACATATAATCATTTATTAATCAATTATCATTTTGACATATCGTTTCTTTATTTAAAGGCTGAAATGTGAGGTTGACCTTTTTATGAAACTTTTTCAAAGCTTTATTTGAACATTTACATTAGATATTTCAACATGCTATTAAACTGTTGTCAGTCAAGTTGTCATTTAAAATCCGAACATCATTGGTAATGTTAATGTTTTATTGATTATGCAAAGAAAAAGTCATTTTATTTGTTGTTTGTTGATTTTTAAATAAAAAACTTGAAGTGATTTATGTGTCAGTACTTTTAGAACATCTCCAGCACATTTTAACAATACCGTGATAATACTGATAACCGTGATAAATTTGGTCTCTATAATCGTGATAAGAAATTTTTATACCGTTACATCCCTAAATGTTGCTGTTTGAGCAAAAAACAATGTCTGCAAAGTTACGAAGCTGAAAGATCAATGCAAACGGAGATATCGTCTTTTAAAATTCTGGCTGTTTAATGCCTACAAAAATGGCTGGTAGAGACTACAACAAGTTACTTCCCGGGTTCGTGACATCAAAAACCCTGATAAACCCCGCCCTTGGGAAAAGGCAGCAAAGGGGGCGAGTCCATGCTGCGCTGCTTTAGAGAAGAGGAAGCGAAAACTAGAGGTGCAAGTAAAAATCTATTTATATATGAATCGCGATTCTGTCTTCTAACGATTCTAATGGAGTCACAAGTTTCAAAATAAATGTTTTAAAGCAGCAGTTCTTAATACTGTTCCTCGCGTCCCCCTGCTCTGCACATGCTATGCATCTCTCTCTCTCTCTCTCTCTCTCTCTCTAGAAACATAGAATGTTTATTAGAAAAACGAATAAGAAAGCTTGGAGGAACGGCATAGGCTACACCTTGATGTAAAATAAAATAAATAAATTACACAAAATTTAAATAAACTGAAAATCAGCAAACACTGTTGAACCAAATAAATAAGAAACAAATGTTTAAAAAAAACTTCCAAAATCACCTTAGATAAATGGCAAAAGTCAACAGGCTTTTCAAAATCCCAAATATTGCGAAACAGGCGCTTTTGCATTTCGTTTCTAAATGAAATCATCCGCTATCATCTTGTCTGTCTCACCTCACTCTTCTTGTCAGTCAGCTCGACTCACTCTCCTCACTGGAGAAATGAAATCTGTGATGCGACTGTTGTTCGGCATGCTGCATTGATCAGCTGAATTCAGTGTTTAATTGTACTGTCTGTTCTCTAACTGAACTAAATTATTTTTATTACTATAAAAAAAATCCAAACATTGTTGGGGACAGTGCCACGGTGGGCCAGTGATGTAAACGGTGTTGCGGCTTAACACACCGTCAACACCGACTATCACTAGCTTCCATCTATTGCGAAAGGCATTGCCTTAACTGAAACTAAAACCATAAAAAAACATTTTCATTACTTGAAATAAAATAAACATTAACTGAAATAAAATAAAATAAATTATAAACATATTATTTCAGCTATAATTGCCAGAGCAACATTTCTCCAGCTAGCATTTTGCCTTCTGTAGAGGACATTATTTTTTTAGCGATTTCTCTGGAACCTTACTTGTCACAGTCCTGTACAGAGCACATTCAGGGCTTTTCAGAGATACCAAAATGATTGGAGGTTTGACTATGACCACTCCCTCTCCTTGGTCTTTAAAAATGGCTGACATTAATTTAGTGATCAAATTTAACACCCTTATGGAAATATGATAATATTTTGTAATGATCATTTAAATATGACACATTTTCAAATTGTTTATATTAAATTGCATAAATCAACATCTCCTGAAAATGTATTTTTAATTGTATAAAAAACAAAAAATGGTTTGTGATTAAAACAAAATTCCCACTGGTTTCGCCGTTTCATGTCTTGTGTTTTTATAATTTTTTTTAAAAACAGGACTTTTAAAAGTGCTGGTGTCCTCTTCAGAGGACATAGCATAAAATATAATTAAATTTTTTTTTATTATAATTTTTCACATTTTTTCTTATGCTCTAACAATGTAATGACATGAAAAAATACTAAAGTCACAAACTTTTTTTCCCCTGGAAGTCAGGAGGTTCATACAAAAATAACTACAACTAAATAAACTCAAACTAAAGGCTAAAATGTAATAAAAACGGTATAGACATAACTAATAAAAAACCAATAAAAATGACCAAAATTAATAAAGCTTTAACTAAAATTAAATAAAACAAAACTGTAATGGTATCATTGATACACTGTAAAAAAAATTTTTTTTCAGTTTAAAAATTCAATGTTTAATTCGATGTGCTAATTCATTGAATTCAGTTTGTGACTTTCTAAATTAAATGAAAATTGTTACACCACTATTTTTTTAAAGGGTACTAAAAACACTGCTTTAAAGGTGCATGTGCTTTAGTCGGACCAAAATACAGATTTTTAGCCTGGTGTGTGCAAAAACAGAAACATAGAATATTAAAATATGGTTGTGAGATTTTGTTGGTGTTTGACATGTTTCTGAAATGTAAGCTTGGCAATCAGTTTTAAAGATTTTGGTCATTCAGGTAGACTAGAAAATACATGCCCATGGGCTTTACAAAGAAAACCCCTGAGTAAATCAGTACTTGTGTTGTAAGCTATGCTAAGTTAGACCTTGATCGCAAGTAGCAGAATTAAGTATACGTTTACTACTTTTTATATATGTATGATATTTGGACACATGTATGTCATGCCAGCCACCCCCAAAGCTACACAAAAGAAGCATTTTCTTCTCCTCCCTTTTCTGAGCTCAGTGTAAGAGAAAAAGGGAGAGAGAGGGGGATACAAAGAATGGATTGTGTGAAATGGGTCTTGTGACAGTATTCAGGCAGCAAGGCTCCAAGGATGGAGGGATGTGGGGAGCAGAGCGCTGTGCGTGTGTGTTTGTGGAGGGGAGCGCTTATCTAGTGGCCAACTTAGGCGTAAGCTGTCAGGCCGAGGTCACGTGACCACCGTTGTCATGACGAGCAAGCGTCACCCCGTGTACAATGCTCAGCCGTGCAGTTCACCAGACAATCAGAGGCTTAGACTGAGCTCTACACTACTCTACACTTACACTTCATTTCATTCTGCTTTCACAGCCCTAATATGACTCTAATATAATATCGTGCTTTATAACGACTGCAGTACACTTTCAAAACATTTTTGGATATTTCAAATCACTTACATTTGTTTCAACATCAAGGTATTATATTAATAACTAATCAAAATTACACTGTTAAAAACGTTTTTTTTTTTTTCAAAGTTGTAAATAAAACAAAGTTTTTGGTCTTTCTATTTCCAAATTTTACATTTAACTTCATGTATTACATGCTGTTTCTTTGTAATTATTTGTGAAATTTACTAGCAATTTCTGAGTGAAAATTGTTTCACCACCAAATATTTTCCAATGTAGCTCATATATAAATGCTTAGTCGACAAATAACTTTCTAAAAAGTAATCTATTACTTTTTTATAATCATCAAGGTGTTATATTATATTATATTACATTATATTAGAAAGAATGTCGATAAAATAAAACTTTAATTCAAGTTATACGGCATATTAACCTCTTAAGACCCGAGAAAAGATTTTTTGGAAAAAAATTTTTTTTTTCATGTCTTTACATTGTTTAGAGCATAAAAAATGCTCTAACATTCATAAGTTATGCTATGTCCTCGGTAGAGGACATCGGGACTCAATAAAAGAAAGAAAAAAAAAAAGACATGAATGAACATGCATAGGCGAAAACAATAGATTTTTTAAATCACCAATACATTTTTAGTTTTCAGGATTTTGTTTTTACCAAACTTTGTATAAAGATGATTCTCAACTATGTTATAACAGAATGATTTGATATACCATTTTTCTTTCTATAAACTAAATCAGATTTGCATATTAATGTGTTTTGGGGGCAACATGTAATGAAAAAAGAAGTGTAATAATGGGAGTAATATTTGACTAGATTTTCATAATAATATATAATATTTCATAGAATATTGAAACATAATTTCTTTCCCTATTCATTTGTTATGTCTCCCAAAATGCTAATAAACGTGCTTTTAGTCCCAGTGTCCTCATATGTACATGTATGAAATCAACATCCTGTTTCGTAACAGAAAGTCATATTTTTATTTGAAACCCCATAACATTTTCCTGAGATGTTGATTTATGACAGCCAGTTTAAAAATTTGATTTAAATAATAATTACAAAATATGATCATATTTCCATAAGAGTGTCACTAAATTAATATCAGCCATATTTGAAGACCAAGGAGAGGGAGTGGTCATGGTGAAACATCCAAACATTTAGTATCTCTGAAAAGCCCTGAATGTGCTCTGTACAGGACATCTAGACTTAAAACTGTGGCATGTATAGTCTCAGAGAAATACACCAAAATATAATGTCCTCATATGAGGTCACAGGGTCTCAGGAGGTTTTAATAAATAAATTTGATCATAATTAGCCTAACATATAATTACTTAGTAAGATAAGCCCCCAAATTAACATAATTCAAAGACTTTACATTATTGTGAAAGTGGTTTTAAAGGTCAGATTTTTGTTATATAGTCTTTATTTCCATTTCCATTTGTAATCTGCAGGTAGTTTTCTTTTTTTAGTTTAGTTAAAGGGGGTCATATGATGTGATTTCAAGTTTTCCTTTCTCTTTGGAGTGTTACAAGCTGTTCGTGAATGGATAAGATCCCTAAAGTTGCAAAGACTAAAGTCTCAAACCCAAAGAGATATTCTTTATAAAAGTTAAGACTCGTCCACGCCCTCCTAAAAC